GATTTCCAGCAGGAGGGGAAGATGTGGTTAAACACGAGGTCACATGCAAGCATGGCGGTGTTGGAACGCACCCCCAACAATACTGTTTGTTTCCCTTCAACTGTCAAGTGTTGTTAATTGATACAAAACCTATATTGTATATTGTACTTTAACTTAATCTTATTCTTGTTATTTTAATTTAGAATCCCTTTATTGCTTTATTGTCATCGAACTAGGTACACTTATTAGTTAAAATAGCAATCCAAAAATGCATTTACACTTATCTTAATGTATTACATTTCAATTTTGTGGGGCAAGTGCAAACACAAATTGCCACAACCAAAGGACCTGCATTATTAAGTGTGTTCCCTTCACTTGTTTGTTGTGCATTGCGCATATTTGCCATAAAATAACATGGTGGAAAATGTCAGAAATGTCCATTGAAGAGATACAAAATATCAGACACGTGTGAAGAAATTAAGACACTGTAATGTTACTCAAATACCGAATGAAATGTAATATTGTATTTTTCTAACATTTCTGACACTATAGCTGTATCTGACTTGCACTCTCTTTTTGACTTTGTCTCTTCTAAACCCAACTGGAAAACATTTGAGAACGTTTATCCACAAAAGCAAACTCTTGAAGACAGAGTTTCTCTCCCACACACTCCCCTTGTTTACTTCCAGAAAATAGTGACATCACTATGTAACACTTCTATTGGATCCAATACATTGTTGGTGATAGGCTATTGGGTTGACCAATCACAACAGAGCCAGCCAGCTAACCAATCAGAGCAGACTGGGCTCTGGTTTCAGACAGAGGGTGAAAAGAGGTGCTGCAGCACAGGCAGTATGAGAAGAATAAAGAGCTTTTTGAACATTAAAGCATGGAGACATGTAGAGACACTACATACTGATATACACCTGAACATCAGCAGGAGAGGACTCTTTAAAGTAGAGACACTACATACTGATATACACCTGAACATCAGCAGGAGAGGACTCTTTAAAGTAGAGACACTACACACTGATATACACCTGAACATCAGCAGGAGAGGACTCTTTAAAGTAGAGACACTACATACTGATATACACCTGAACATCAGCAGGAGAGGACTCTTTAAAGTAGAGACACTACATACTGATATACACCTGAACATCAGCAGGAGAGGACTCTTTAAAGTAGAGACACTACATACTGATATACACCTGAACATCAGCAGGAGAGGACTCTTTAAAGTAGAGACACTACACACTGATATACACCTGAACATCAGCAGGAGAGGACTCTTTAAAGTAGAGACACTACATACTGATATACACCTGAACATCAGCAGGAGAGGACTCTTTAAAGTAGAGACACTACATACTGATATACACCTGAACATCAGCAGGAGAGGACTCTTTAAAGTAGAGACACTACATACTGATATACACCTGAACATCAGCAGGAGAGGACTCTTTAAAGTAGAGACACTACATACTGATATACACCTGAACCTCAGCAGGAGAGGACTCTTTAAAGTAGAGACACTACATACTGATATACACCTGAACATCAGCAGGAGAGGACTCTTTAAAGTAGAGACACTACATACTGATATACACCTGAACATCAGCAGGAGAGGACTCTTTAAAGTAGAGACACTACACACTGATATACACCTGAACATCAGCAGGAGAAGACTCTTTAAAGTAGAGACACTTCATACTGATATACACCTGAACATCAGCAGGAGAGGACTCTTTAAAATAGAGACACTACACACTGATATACACCTGAACATCAGCAGGAGAGGACTCTTTAAAGTAGAGACACTACATACTGATATACACCTGAACATCAGCAGGAGATGACTCTTTAAAGTAGAGACACTACATACTGATATACACCTGAACATCAGCAGGAGAGGACTCTTTAAAGTAGAGACACTACATACTGATATACACCTGAACATCAGCAGGAGAGGACTCTTTAAAGTAGAGACACTACATACTGATATACACCTGAACATCAGCAGGAGAGGACTCTTTAAAGTAGAGACACTACATACTGATATACACATGAACATCAGCAGGAGAGGACTCTTTAAAGTAGAGAGACACTACATACTGATATACACCTGAACATCAGCAGGAGAGGACTCTTTAAAGTAGAGACACTACATACTGATATACACCTGAACATCAGCAGGAGAGGACTCTTTAAAGTAGAGACACTACACACTGATATACACCTGAACATCAGCAGGAGAGGACTCTTTAAAGTAGAGACACTTCATACTGATATACACCTGAACATCAGCAGGAGAGGACTCTTTAAAATAGAGACACTACACACTGATATACACCTGAACATCAGCAGGAGAGGACTCTTTAAAGTAGAGACACTACATACTGATATACACCTGAACATCAGCAGGAGATGACTCTTTAAAGTAGAGACACTACATACTGATATACACCTGAACATCAGCAGGAGAGGACTCTTTAAAGTAGAGACACTACATACTGATATACACCTGAACATCAGCAGGAGAGGACTCTTTAAAGTAGAGACACTACATACTGATATACACCTGAACATCAGCAGGAGAGGACTCTTTAAAGTAGAGACACTACATACTGATATACACCTGAACATCAGCAGGAGAGGACTCTTTAAAGTAGAGACACTACATACCAATTGCCAAACCAATTCTGAAGAACTCTTTCTGTAGCTCGAGGTAGTTCAGAGTGTAATAATCAACGTTCTTTATCAGCGAGACTAAACAAATATGGACCCTGAATCTAACTAGAGCTGTCGTCCATAGGAAATAATGTGCGCCAGGGAACCGACGTCCCTGAACAGTAAACTACCTCAGGGCAGCTTGTGCTCGGTCATAGACTGGCAACAACAATGCGCCCAAGCTCCTCCCCCTTAAGAGAGATAGCAGCAATACCCAAGCTCCTCCCCCTTAAGAGAGATAGCAGCAATACCCAAGCTCATCCCCCTTAAGAGAGATAGCAGCAATACCCAAGCTTCTCCCCCTTAAGAGAGATAGCAGCAATACCCAAGCTTCTCCCCCTTAAGAGAGATAGCAGCAATACCCAAGCTCATCCCCCCTTAAGAGAGATAGCAGCAATACCCAAGCTCATCCCCCTTAAGAGAGATAGCAGCAATACCCAAGCTTCTCCCCCTTAAGAGAGATAGCAGCAATACCCAAGCTTCTCCCCCTTAAGAGAGATAGCAGCAATACCCAAGCTCCTCCCCCTTAAGAGAGATAGCAGCAATACCCAAGCTCCTCCCCCTTAAGAGAGATACACTGTTAGCCCGGAGTTCATATCTAATTAAATAATGAATTACAAATTACTGACATTATTTAAGTTTCATTGCATTACTATCAAATGTAAGCTTATTCTACTTGCTGACTACCAAATGTAAGCATATAATACTTACATGTGTTAGTTAAGCAATGTGTCAATAATTTTAAGTTAAGTAACTTCACATTATTAAGTTTTAGTCATGTTCGCAATGCATTATGGGAAAGAGAAGGATATTTTAATGTGCAGCAGCCACGTTTCCAGCTCGCAATTTCTCAGTCGGACGCAACCCCACTTTGAACGACGGGCACCCTTCCACCGCGCTGTCTACGCTTCCAAAGGAAGGACGCTGCACGGCGGCCTTATCTACTGAATCTGGTGAGTGATTTAGCTAACAGGGCTTGGTTGAATTCTCCTACTTTTGGGTGTAACACAGCCACAGGAAGTATCAACTGGCGGGAACACGGTGTGGGCTTCTCTCGCATTGTTTAAGTACTTGTTAGAGGAAAATAAAATGTTAACAGACATTGACAGTTACAGATAAATTCGAATAATGCTGCCGTTTATTTTCTGAATTAAAGTTCCATTCGTTCCGTGGAACGGACTTTTTATTTTGGCGGAAGCATTACGATCATTTTTAAGTCAATTAAATAATTTAAAAATCGATATTATGAATTTTTTTTTTTTTTTTTTAGTATGTAGCCGTGTAATAAGCGGTATAATGTGCTGCTAGGTGGTCATTAGGGTGGGGGGGATCCCCGCAGTGTGATCATGGAGCCCGCGGAGGGATCTAGATCTTGCGATAATGCGACCGCATTAAGTGTTCAGTTGATTTACCTCACTTAACTGCAGCACTTCTACGCTACTGCAGTCAGGCAATGTGTGTTTCCCTCGCTTTTGTTAACTTTTACTGAGCGATAGTAGGCTACGAGGTGCAGATAGTTTTAAACAGATAGTGCTGTACTTTTTTCACTTGTTCGTGTTCACTGAAAGACGTAGATTTTTTTTTCACCCAGTTGCTGTTTTTGTCACCTTTCTTTTAGTCGTGTGAGTCGGACACCACCGCACATTAACGCCGGACGCTCGAACCCTGCCACCACAGGCTGTCTCAGGCTTCCATCATAGGGAGAGGAGGGTGGCGCTTGGACGGCTGCTTTGTGCTACTACATCAGGTGAGACGCCATTTAGCTAACATTAGCAACCACATTACGTTATCAGATGTTGTTGATTAACGTCCCTTAAAGGTGGGGTATGTAATTTATTTCAGAAACACTTATTGTTATATTCCATGGAATGCTCTTAACATCCCGATAGCAATGCATATATGAAATGCTTTGACAATAAATACATACAAAATGTTCATCTGTGGAAGCCGTAGCGCTGTAAAAAGCACGACCAATCATTTTAAACCGGCCCGGCTAAAATAGCTGGATGGCTATTTCACCTGGTTCCTTCTAACGGGGACATAGCCCGGTCTCAGGTGTCCCCCCACGGCCTGTGTCCAGCCGTTCCCCCCCCCCACCACACCCCCACCACTCATCCATATATTAACCGATTTTGACAATTCTTGTTGCATTTTTGTCCTCTCTTCTCACTGATAGAATGGCAAACACGACCCACCATCGGAGGGCCTCCACCGGCCTGGTGCCGGTGTCCTGGCGGTCGGTTCCTCCGAACTGCGGGTTCGACTCTGATGGCCGCGAGGGTGTCTCTTCCCGGGCCGGCCGATATGAAGCGTGACCAAGACGCATCGTCTGACTCGGGGGTCCCACCACGGGTCCCGCAGCGGGGTGGAGGTTCCAGGCTGAAACCTCCCCAGGTTTGTTTGTCCTTTTGTGTTCTAAATGTAATGTTCATAAAATGTAGTTATATCCTCATACCTACTTAAATATCTGATTGTATTAAGATATTACTGTGAGAAGTGCACAGAGGCATCTTGAAAAATCAGATGGTGAAGCAAGCAAAAGCTGTGTAAATAAAAAAAATGCACTTATTTGTTTCACCAAGGATGATTTCATTTGACAGTTTTACATGGTTTGTTCTCTTTTGTGTTTCAGGCTTATTGCGAGTTCAACAGAGTGGTGGGGAAAGATCTCAAGGACAACTTCTTCGATGCACTTGACCGTTTCTCTCCGAGCCTGATGGACCTCTTTAGGAAGAAGAAGGGTGTCACTGGCCAATTTCTGTCTGAGCTAAGTCAGACAAAGGTGGGTTTACTTAACATCTGTCTACCCAATCTCTTTCCTCTCTCCTTGTTCCTCTTCTGTCCCTTTGACTTCCTTCTCATCTCTTCTTTTCTCTCATTTGCTGCTCTTGTCCTGTCAATTTAATTGCATCTCTTCATGTGTCATTGTTTCCTCTTTTCCCTTGTTCATTTTGCTTTGCTCTCTTGTTTTGTTTCCTATTCTATTCTTTGGTCAAGAAGAAATTATGTTCTCTCCCTTTTCTATTCTCCCATCATGTCCTCTCCTTTTGTCCTCTCCTTTACTTTCAAGTATATTTGCAATAAAGTAATTGTGTAGAGTTTGTAGAATGTATTTGATGAATATATAACCATTCTTTGTTATCTCCACTATATTCCAGACCACTGAGCCAACAGATGCCTTTGTGTTCGGGGACTGCCAATCATCTTGGGGGATGAGCCTTCTGCCTTCTTCAAGACCTGCACCGTAAGTGACTTTAACCCTTGTGTTATGTTCACATTTTGCACCCTTTGGTAAGTTTTGGGTGAAATTGACCCGGGACATATTTCAGAGTTTAAAAAAATACAGAACTAAATGTAACTTACACTATTCCTTATATATATTGTCTTTAACTAATTCACCAACAATATAAATGAAATATGATATGTTTTTTAAATATGTATGATGCTTTTCATTATAAACAGTGGAAGCTACTTTTTGGTGGACGATGTAGAATGATCTGTCACTCTTTATTTCTCTGTTAGGATGCGGCTGATAAGGAGGTGTACAGTCAAACTCCACTGGGAATCCTCTGTGTCGGAGAAAATCCTCAGCTGGGTGAAATTGCCATCTAGTGTGGCAATCGTCTTGGAGGGGAATGTGGTGATGGATGGACCGGCTAACCTGCCTCAAGCCTTCTGTGTCCTGTTCAGACTCATTTATGCCCTGCAACTGGAGTGCATGAAAAACACTTTCCACTTTGTTCAGCAGGTGATGTTAAAACTTGGTAAAGTTGAGCTGGCACCCAAAATTCAGACTTTGACAAATCAGCTTACATTGTGAAACGGGGTTCTGAAAAGTTGGCTACTGTTACATATGGCAAGTATTTAGGCTTCCATATTGCATTTTGTTGTTGTTGCATGTTTGCACTGTTTGACCTATTAAGCTTGTTGGCATTTCCATTTGTGTTTTATTCTATAAACTACTGACAACATCGCTCCCAAAAGCCATTTAGAGCATTTATTTGCAGAAAATTACAACTGGTCAGAATAACAGAGAAAATGCTGTGTTTTTTGGTGGAATAACCCAGATGTTTCAATAACAGCTTTCAATGCGTCTTGGTTGCTCGCCACCAGTCTGTCACATTGTTGCTGGGTGACTTTATGTCTCTCCTGGCACACAAACTCAAGCAGCAATGTGAAAGGTGTTGCAGAGCCAAGACGCATGAAAGCTGTGATTGAAAATCTGGGTTGTTCCACCAATGACTGATTCCTGAGCCCTTCCTATGTTAAAACATTAGTATTGTGTTGTTGAAAAATGAATTTTAAATTGTTTTCTTTGCACTATTCGAGGTCTGAAAACACTCCATCTTTTTTGGTTACTTTGAACATTTGGTATTTTTTGTAAATAAACGCTCTAAATGAGAATATTTGGAGTTTGGGATAAATGTCGTCAGTCATTAATTTATAGAATAAAACACAAATGTTAATCCAGTTTTTACCAATAGTAAAACGAGAGAAACTGATAATTTTACAGAGGTCTCTTAATTTTTTCAGAGCTCTACATAAATATATAGATCTATATATCTATTTGTATAGATATATAACTATATATCTTTATATATATAGAGAGATTGCTATTGTTTCATGTGAAAAATGTTCTCAGGAAAATGTATGGTACAATATGTTTGCCACAGTTTGTATAGGAAGCTCAATTTCATTGTATCCAAATGAAACACTCAAGTTTTAATAAAAGGTCAAACTTTATTTTTGTGTCTTTTTTGTAGTTGACGGAATCAAAAATATAAATACGAAATGTAACCACTTTCAACTAAAAATTCTAAGTTAAATAATTGGAAAAAAACAATTGATATTACACAATATTTTAAGTAAAATCAACTTCACATGAAGTGCATTGTACTTCAAATAACAATTCCAGTCCTTGAATAATTTAAGTTAAATTCACTCAAGTTTTCCTAATGCGTTACTTAAAAAAATAGAAAGTGGTTGACTTAAAAATGTAAGTAAAATCAACTTGAAGTGGATTGTACTTCAAATAACAATTAAAGTCCTTGATTAATTTAAGTTTAATTTACTCAAGTTTTCATAATGCTTTACTTAAATTTTTAAAGGCAACCACTTTACGCTATTTTTTTAAGTAGATTCAACTTATCCGGGCTTACAGTGTAGCAGCAATACCCAAGGCCGTAGACCTATGCCGTGGGAAAAGAGAGTGGGTCGAAGGTTGAATACCTAAGCAAATTAATCCCTAACAAATACAAATATGAACCTGGAAATGAGCAGAATAGGTCCTCTTTAAATTAGGTTGATGTGTAAAATCTGTGTACTGTCCCTTTAAGTCCTAGATCTGTTGTAGATCTGCTGTATCCTTTTTGGATGTTTTGGAAATGAAGGTAAAGAGAAGTGCTGCTGACGGGAAGAGAAATAGGACGGAGATGGAGAGCATTATTTCCAACAGGATATTGGGGAAGACGTGTGAGGGGAAAAAAGAACCAAAGGGAGAAAGGTGGGGGGGGCTGACAAGGACAGATAAGGAGTGAGGGAAGGAGGTATAGAGAGGGAAAGAAAGAGGTGGAGAATTGTTAGTGACAGCGAGGTGAAAAAGGACAGAGGTGGAGAAGGAGGAAGATGGTGAAGTGCTGTAGGAGAGGAAGCTGCGGATAGAGTGACACGGAGAGAAAAGTCAGAAGCAAAGGTATGACATTCACTTTGACAGGTGAGGTGAGGAAGTGTGTGTGTGTGAGGGAGTGTATATAGGTGCAAAGTTGCGTATAGGTCTGAGTATGTGTGTGTGTGTGGGTGTGTGTGTGTGTGTGTGTGTGTGTGTGTGTGTGAGGGAGTGTATATAGGTGCAAAGTTGCGTATAGGTCTGAGTATGTGTGTGTGTGTATAGTAAATTGGTGCTGACAAGGCTAGCAGGTTGTGACATTAATTAGCTCGCCTCAGTGATGGCTGAAACGTAATCTCCCAGAGAAAGGAGACACCAGGGGGGGGACATCAAAAACACACACACACACACCTACACACTGTCTTTCTGACCTCACCTCGCTTCCTGTGACTGGGGATGAAGGGTAGACATGGCTAGGGTTACTGTCCTAATGTGGACAAGATGTGTGTGATTGTGAATCTGCATCTGTGTGTGAGAAAGAAGTCTGTCTTCTGCAACTTTAAAACTTTTCTTTCCTTCGTTTCACCACCAGAATTAAAAACAGCACTGTCAAAGAATGTGGAACACTTCATCAGCATTTTATGGATCTGTTTTCCACTTTTAATTTGATTGATGATTAATAAAGATTGTTATCGTCCCTATGAGGGAGTGACGGAAACATTAATCATAACCACAAGAATGAATACACAAAATTAGAGGGCTTCAAATCAAAGAATACAAATATTGGAGCCCCGCTGAGTTGGCAATAAGGCAGTGTTTAAACTTCAAATGCTAATGGTTTTTTTCTCCGTCCCATATATTGGTCATTGTCTATGCACTTTAGGTAAAACAACACATTTTGACATCTCTTAAATTACCACTTTCAAATCCTATCTATCTGTAAAGATGTCATCTCAAGTTGCCGGTCTCTCATTATGTTGGTTGTTTTGTATATAACTCGATAATTACAAATCACTGTTCTGGGAAAGAGATCCTTCTTCTGTTGCTCTGTTGCTTTTAACTCTTTTTTATGCAATTTGGAAGACATATTTCAAACTAACAAAATAATGCAGAAAACGTATAGCAGGTTTAACAACCACCAAGATGACCAGAACATGCATCCACCGTGCAACCGGCAACATATTGATACTAGAAAGTGGGATAATCTGAGAGACGATATATATATCGTCCCTATCTCTGTTTCTTATCCTATATCTAGAACTGCTCGGGTCTTGATAGATTGAGTGGGGAAGTTCATGAGATCTTTCTAGAGGGTTATCGAGAATAACTTTTATCCAATGACCTTTCCCCTCTCTGTCTGTGTCTGTGTATTCTCTTGTTCCGATTAACCCAGCCAAATCTGTGTTCTTGTTTTGTATCTATATCTACGCCGGGATCCGGAGTCGAGGCTGATCCTCTTGCTGTAGTCCTGTGTCTTGGATCCTCTATCCTGAGTTCTGGATTAAGTCGTGGACTTCGGGTCGTGGCTGAACCTGTCTCTGCGGTCCTGCCTTGGGTCTCGTCATGCTGCTTCCCTGATGGCTTCCACAGGATTGTAGCTGACATCCTCGTGGATTCATCTTCTTATTACAGAATCATGCATTTCCTAACATTCGGTCTATATGCTGTAAAATGTATTATCTCTTGGATTTCCACACGGCATCTATTGCACGTCTGTCCGTCCTGGGAGAGGGATCCCTCCTCTGTTGCTCTCCCTGAGGTTTCTCCCATGTTCCCTTAAACTGTGGGTTTTCTCTGGAAGGTTTTCCTTGTACGATGTGAGGGTCTAAGGACAGAGGGTCTAAGGACAGAGGGTCTAAGGATAGAGGGTCTAAGGACAGAGGGTCTAAGGATAGAGGGTCTAAGGACAGAGGGTCTAAGGATAGAGGGTGTTGTTTTTCTCATACTGATATTCTGAACAATCTGTGCTGTTGTATTTGCTGTAAAGAGTCTCTACTGTAGGCTATTTTTATTATATGTTCAGCACTTTGGCTCCACCAAAAATCGTTTATAAATTTGCTATATAAATAAAACTTGATTTGATATGATATATGTTTCCTATAGTATAGGCACAGAGAAACTATGGTATGGTTGAGCTTTCGTAATATTATGTATATGGCAAATAACTCGCTAGGTTTGAGATGAGGTAGCTGCTGTAAAAGTCTTGTTTAAGTTTAGACTGAGAAGGTTTTTCGCAGGGTGCAGAATTGTCTAGAAGAACATAATTAGTTACGTGAGTATGGGCAAACAAACAAACAGCCGAACCACTTCTTTTGCTTCATTTTGGTAAAACGTAGGCGGCATTTATGCACATAGATATGAAGTAAAAGGCAGTCTCCTCTCATGAAGCTGTAGTCACTTTCTTCTTGTCATAATTTAAACTGTTTTAATACTTCATCGGTGGCTTGAAAAGCAAATGAGGTGAATCTTTAGTAGGCTGTTTTGATAATGTGATCAGCTGTGCTTGAACCCAAGTCTTTGATTTGTTCTACGGGTGTGTTTCTGTGTCAACGGCCTGGTTATGCTGATGGTTTTGCAGCATATTTTGGGTGGTCCTAATCAAGCACTGGAAAAAATGCTGCTCCATAAACAAGTTAAACATGAATGAAAACAAGGTGTTTTCACTTGGAATAAATACAAAAACCTGCCAATAGAACAAGTGAACATTTGCTTGGTAAGATTCCTTGAAGAACGGATAATTAGATCAATCAGATCTTGTAGCTGGGAGAACTAATGTGAGCTATATTTGACCAGAATCAGGACATGTTGTGTTACAAAACAAGCCGCAAATGCTCAAAAGTGTTTTTGTTCTCTTGGTGATTTTCCAATAAATGTGAAAAAAAGGTGTTTCATCTGAGATACAACTCAATATAAGATTATTGGACTTAAAGGTAGGGTAGGTAAGAATGGAGAAACCAGCTCGAGTGCGCTAGAATTTGAAAGTACGCAGCCGAAAACAATCTGCCCCTTCCTTCAGACTTCCTCACAGAGCCCCTCCTCCAACACACACGAACGCGCACATGACCAATGAGGGCACGAGATCAGTTTGTGCCCAGATGGAAGGCTGACAGGCAGGTAGGCCATCCAGTTACTTTAGCCGGCTC